CACTCCCCCTGCTTGTGTTCCCTCTCGCTGTGTCTCTCTCTGTCAAATAAATAAACAAAATCTTTAAAAAAATAAAAAATAAAAAAATAAATTTATCAAATTGTTGCCCTTTCAGGAGTACTACCAACATTTGGATATTTTAGTTTTTCTATTTTTTTCTTTTTTTTTTTTAGTGCATGTAAAATAATTAACCAATTATCCCACCAGCATTAGTGAAGTAATCCTGTCTTTCCTGTTCAGGAAGCTTACTCTACCAGCACTATAGCAGACTATTTCTTGGAATGAATTCCTATCTAGTAATTGTATTGGGACATAGCTCTCTTAATGCAAAAGGTACATCTTATACATGAAGGGCCAAATCAAAATCAAAAGGTGCCTTGGTTGGTGTGCATGAATTTAGAGTCAAAATCAGGCTGTGATAGCCACACTTCCAGGAAAAGGCTCCATAGCTCAGGGGTTAGAACACTCATCTCATATAATAGCCACACGTCCACCTCCACGGGACATCTTGCCAATAGGTTATATTATTTAAGCCCAGCTGGATGAGGCACCCTTCTCCCCTGGATGAGATGTGTCAAGGTTATTGCTCTGACACCTGCTTTTTTTGCGTTTTTGACTGAACCAGCTCCCGTTTGGAGCAACACATTTTTTTCCTTTGGAAATATTAATATATTCAGGAGGACCATGGTTAGATCTTAGTGTCCTGGGAATCACACTGTCTTTGAAATGACTTTGTATCAGCCTGTCTTAATTTATTACATCAGATTAAAGTTGATCCTTAAAAGGATCATTGTACCTCCTTCAATTTCAAATTTCTCTAGCCCCCAAAACATAGATATCATCAAGTGGCTGGGTTGTTTCATTTACATTTATATTATATTTCATTGCTTTGTGATGGGAGTGAGTAGCCTGAAAAATTTCTGCATTAAAAAAAGGTATTATTTTTGGAAAATGTCCATGTGAACATTTAAAATAAGATGTAATTTTATATCTATCACAGTCTGATGGTTTAATCCTATCTTAATTTGATGGTTATGTGTTAAAATCTATTACTACCAATAAGTCTCTCAACCTCTTATTCCTTGATGTTTTTGCTTTAGCATTTTGATAATATGAGTTGCCATGTTCGAGAGTATAAATTCTTCATTTTAATTGTGTTATTAATTGGCTATTGAGTAAAAACGTAATTGACAAATCATATTTCTCCCATTAGCCTCACTGCTCTTCATTCTGTTGTTTTGCTTGGTCAATCTTTGATCATCCTTCTATTTGTAACTTTCTGTATCTTTCTGATGGATTTTCCAATTCCTCCTGTGGTGTCTGCCTTCAGAGACATTCAAGGGATTCCTCTTTATTACCCCACATTAACCCAAGGCGTGCAAAAGGTTAAACAGACAGATCAGCGCCCTTGGTATTGATACATTTGAAACTTTGTACAATCTTGGCAATGCAGCCGCCCCTGTGTTTGCTATAGGGCATGCTCTCTGGTGTGTCAATACATGTCTCAATTTTTGAAAGCACCCTAGCCTTAAGTGCCAGGAATTATCCGACTTGGCTTAGGGGAGAATGCATGTCTTCTTAATGTTCCATTAGTAATTAATGAAGGAAGCAAACACAGTTTCCTTTACGGAAGGCCTGCCAAGGCTCTGTTTACCTCTGTGCACCAGGGCCATTAAAATGAATGCAGCACTTGTTAGGGAGTAGCAGATGTTTCTTACCAGGCAGATACATTATAACACAGGCTCTTTTAAAAACTACATTTAATGACCTCAAATCAAGAAACACTGAGGTAGGAACTGTGGGAGATACATGGAAGTAACAAATGCTATCCTTTGCTCTCCAGGAGCTTGAATTTTATAGACAAGAAACCACATTTAGGTAATAATTAGAAAATGATATAGTTGAGTATGCAACCAAATGCTAGTTATTGGGTTCATTATGTTTAGATTATGTTAATTTCTTATACCTGAAACCAAGTCAATCAAAATGTTATGATGCAATGGATGCTCTTTGTTCTATTTGTCACAGTCTCAACCAAACACAGAGTTTAAAATCATTAATTAGTCAGTTTAAAAAATACATATTGAGCACATACTACATACTACATACCAAGACCTGGACTAAGTGCTAGAACCAGGTAAACGAGGGCCCTTCTTTCACAGTTTACAGTCTGCAAAAGATGTACAAAGAAGAACACACTTGCAATGCAGAGTTGGAATGCACTTCTAATATAACTGGGATACAGCAAGATGTCACAGGCATGATGGGAGAAACATCTAACCCAAACGTGGGACATGGAGGACTTCTTGCAGGAAGCAACATACCAGTGATTACGTTAGGTGCTGTGGAAGACAAATGTAAAAGACATGGTTCTTACTCTCTAACTGGTTCTTTAATCTAGATGGTTTTTCAAGGTTAACACAATAAGCCAGTGGTATATGATAAGATACATCCCCTGACATAATTCATTATGGTATAGACTGTAAATGATGTAGAAATTCAGGGAACAGAGAACCTGCCAAAAAAATACCCGTGAAAGAGATGACCCTTGAGTTGAAAGGGTCATCATCAAAGACAGGATCCATCCTTACAGGTAGCAAAGGAAGAACCACAAGTGAGAGCACAGAGGCAGGTGTAAGCAGGGAAGGTTTGAGCATCCGTGATGAGCACTGTTGGGGAAGGGGGGCCAGAGCTGGATGGAAGGGGAGAAGGCCAATGCCAGGCAGAAAAGTATGAATTAACATAGGAATAAATGGCAACCAAACTTTCTGGGCAGGAGAGCAATGTAATAATTGGATGTTACACAGAATGTTAATTTAGCAACAATTTAAAGCCCTTGTTCCCACCTAAGGATGCATATCAGAATCACTTGTGGCATTTTTTTTTTAAGACTTATTTATTTATTTATTTATTTATTTATTTATTTATTAGACAGAGAGACACAGAGAGAGAGGGAACACAAGCAGGGGGAGTGGGAGAGGGCAAAGCAGGCTTCCCGCCGAGCAGGGAGCCCAAAGCGGGGCTCGATCCCAGGACCCTGGGATTATGACCTGAGCCAAAGGCAGATGCTTAACAACTGAGCCACCCAGGCGCCCCTCACTTGTGGCATTTTTTTTTAAAGATTTTATTTATTTATTTGAGAGAGAGAATGAGATAGA